CTGGGGAACATACTAGGTACTGGGGGAACATCCTAGGTACTGGGGGAGCATCCTAGGTACTAGGGGAACATCCTAGGTACTGGGGGAACATCCTAGGTACTGGGGGAACATCCTAGGTACTAGGGAGCATCCTAGGTACTAGGGGAACATCCTAGGTACTGGGGAACATCCTAGGTACTGGGGGAACATCCTAGGTACTGGGGAACATCCTAGGTACTGGGGAACATCCTAGGTACTGGGAACATCCTAGGTACTGGGGAACATCCTAGGTACTGGGGAACATCCTAGGTACTGGGGAGCATCCTAGGTACTGGGGAACATACTAGGTACTGGGGAACATCCTAGGTACTGGGAACATCCTAGGTACTGGGAACATCCTAGGTACTGGGGAACATCCTAGGTACTGGGGAGCATCCTAGGTACTGGGGGAACATCCTAGGTACTGGGGAACATTCTAGGTACTGGGGGAACATCCTAGGTACTGGGGAGCATCCTAGGTACTGGGGGAACATACTAGGTACTGGGAACATCCTAGGTACTAGGGAACATCCTAGGTACTGGGGAGCATCCTAGGTACTGGGGGAACATCCTAGGTACTGGGGAACATACTAGGTACTGGGGGAACATCCTAGGTACTGGGGAACATTCTAGGTACTGGGGGAACATCCTAGGTACTGGGAACATACTAGGTACTGGGGAACATCCTAGGTACTGGGAACATCCTAGGTACTGGGAACATCCTAGGTACTGGGGAACATCCTAGGTACTGGGGGAACATCCTAGGTACTGGGGAACATCCTAGGTACTGGGGGAACATCCTAGGTACTGGGGGAACATCCTAGGTACTGGGAACATCCTAGGTACTGGGGAAACATCCTAGGTACTGGGGAACATCCTAGGTACTGGGGAACATCCTAGGTACTGGGGGAACATCCTAGGTACTGGGAACATCCTAGGTACTGGGGAACATCCTAGGTACTGGGGAACATCCTAGGTACTGGGGGAACATCCTAGGTACTGGGGGAACATCCTAGGTACTGGGAACATCCTAGGTACTGGGAACATCCTAGGTACTGGGGGAACATCCTAGGTACTGGGGAACATCCTAGGTACTGGGGGAACATCCTAGGTACTGGGGGAACATCCTAGGTACTGGGAACATCCTAGGTACTGGGGAACATCCTAGGTACTGGGGAACATCCTAGGTACTGGGGAACATCCTAGGTACTGGGGAACATCTTAGGTACTGGGGAACATCCTAGGTACTGGGGAACATCCTAGGTACTGGGGGAACATCCTAGGTACTGGGGAACATTCTAGGTACTGGGGAACATCCTAGGTACTGGGGAACATCCTAGGTACTGGGGGAACATCTTAGGTACTGGGGAACATCTTAGGTACTGGGGAACATCCTAGGTACTGGGGAACATCCTAGGTACTGGGAACATACTAGGTACTGGGGGAACATCCTAGGTACTGGGGAGCATCCTAGGTACTGGGGAACATCCTAGGTACTGGGAACATACTAGGTACTGGGGAACATCCTAGGTACTGGGAACATCCTAGGTACTGGGGGAACATCCTAGGTACTGGGGAACATCCTAGGTACTGGGGAACATACTAGGTACTGGGGAACATCTTAGGTACTGGGGAACATCCTAGGTACTGGGGAACATCCTAGGTACTGGGGGAACATCCTAGGTACTGGGAAACATCTTAGGTACTGGGGAACATCCTAGGTACTGGGGAACATCCTAGGTACTGGGAACATACTAGGTACTGGGGGAACATCCTAGGTACTGGGGAGCATCCTAGGTACTGGGGAACATCCTAGGTACTGGGAACATACTAGGTACTGGGGAACATCCTAGGTACTGGGAACATCCTAGGTACTGGGGGAACATCCTAGGTACTGGGGAGCATCCTAGGTACTGGGGAACATACTAGGTACTAGGGAGCATCCTAGGTACTGGGGGAACATCCTAGGTACTGGGGAGCATCCTAGGTACTGGGGGAACATCCTAGGTACTGGGGAGCATCCTAGGTACTGGGGAACATACTAGGTACTGGGGAACATCCTAGGTACTGGGGAACATCCTAGGTACTGGGGAACATCTTAGGTACTGGGGGAACATCCTAGGTACTGGGGAACATCCTAGGTACTGGGGGAACATCCTAGGTACTGGGGGAACATCCTAGGTACTGGGGAACATTCTAGGTACTGGGGGAACATCCTAGGTACTGGGGAACATACTAGGTACTGGGGGAACATCCTAGGTACTGGGGAACATCCTAGGTACTGGGGGAACATCCTAGGTACTGGGGGAACATCCTAGGTACTGGGAACATCCTAGGTACTGGGGAACATCCTAGGTACTGGGGAACATCCTAGGTACTGGGAACATCCTAGGTACTGGGGAACATCCTAGGTACTGGGGAACATCCTAGGTACTGGGAACATACTAGGTACTGGGGAACATCCTAGGTACTGGGAACATCCTAGGTACTGGGGGAACATCCTAGGTACTGGGGAGCATCCTAGGTACTGGGGAACATACTAGGTACTAGGGAGCATCCTAGGTACTGGGGGAACATCCTAGGTACTGGGGCGCATTATAGGTAATGGGGGAACATACTAGGTACTGGGGGAACATCCTAGGTACTGGGGAACATCCTAGGTACTGGGGAGCATCCTAGGTACTGGGAACATCCTAGGTACTAGGGAGCATCCTAGGTACTGGGGGAACATCCTAGGTACTGGGGAGCATCCTAGGTACTGGGGAACATACTAGGTACTGGGGGAACATCCTAGGTACTGGGGAACATCCTAGGTACTGGGGAACATACTAGGTACTGGGGGAACATCCTAGGTACTGGGGAACATACTAGGTACTGGGGGAACATCCTAGGTACTGGGGAACATCCTAGGTACTGGGGAACATTCTAGGTACTGGGGAACATCCTAGATACTGGGGGAACATCCTAGGTACTGGGGGAACATCCTAGGTACTGGGGAACATTCTAGGTACTGGGGAGCATCCTAGGTACTGGGGAACATACTAGGTACTGGGGGAACATCCTAGGTACTGGGGAACATACTAGGTACTGGGGGAACATCCTAGGTACTGGGGAACATACTAGGTACTGGGGAGCATCCTAGGTACTGGGAACATCCTAGGTACTAGGGAGCATCCTAGGTACTGGGGGAACATCCTAGGTACTGGGGAGCATCCTAGGTACTGGGGAACATACTAGGTACTGGGGGAACATCCTAGGTACTGGGGAACATCCTAGGTACTGGGGAACATACTAGGTACTGGGGGAACATCCTAGGTACTGGGGAACATACTAGGTACTGGGGGAACATCCTAGGTACTGGGGAACATCCTAGGTACTGGGGAACATTCTAGGTACTGGGGAACATCCTAGATACTGGGGGAACATCCTAGATACTGGGGGAACATCCTAGGTACTGGGGGAACATCCTAGGTACTGGGGAACATTCTAGGTACTGGGGAGCATCCTAGGTACTGGGGAACATACTAGGTACTGGGGGAACATCCTAGGTACTGGGGAACATACTAGGTACTGGAGGAACATCCTAGGTACTGGGGAACATACTAGGTACTGGGGAACATACTAGGTACTGGGGGAACATCCTAGGTACTGGGGAACATCCTAGGTACTGGGGAACATACTAGGTACTGGGGGAACATCCTAGGTACTGTGGAGCATCCTAGGTACTGGGGAACATCCTAGGTACTGGGGGAACATCCTAGGTACTGGGGAACATCCTAGGTACTGGGGGAACATCCTAGGTACTGGGGGAACATCCTAGGTACTGGGGAACATCCTAGGTACTGGGGGAACATTCTAGGTACTGGGGAACATCCTAGGTACTGGGGGAACATCCTAGGTACTGGGGAACATCCTAGGTACTGGGGGAACATTCTAGGTACTGGGGAACATCCTAGGTACTGGGGGAACATCCTAGGTACTGGGGAAACATCCTAGGTAACGGAAAGATCTGGTAGATACCGAGAACAAGTACTTATAGTTGATACTTGTCGGTGTTATTGTGCAACAGCTGTGTGACTGGTTTCGTCCGTGTGAAACTCAGTTCAGAAACTTGTGACAACCTATTTATTGTTTATATCCAAACATTACCCATTTGAATCAGCTGCTTAGACCTTTATCTTGACTATTTATGAATATGTTTACAATTAAGCTTTAAATTAAATTAATTTTGAAATTAATTAAATTAAGTGGGAGTTTTACATGTGTAAAGCCCCCACATGTCTGTGTTAATGCTACTTCATCTATCACCCAAGATCTTGACATTTCCTGCTCTTTATGTGTTGTGGTAATAATTTGTCAGGTACGATAATAGTAGAACCATGAATGGCTTTTTAAGTAGACGATAAGTCACAATAACGTGGCTGAAGTATGTTGACCCATCCACACACTAGAAAATGAAGGGACGACGACGTTTCGGTCCGTCCTGGACCATTCTCAAGTCGATTGTGTACTCATCGACATTTTCAAGTCGATGAGCAAGTACTGAGAATGGTCCAGGAGGGACCGAAACGTCGTCGTCCCTTCATTTTCTAGTGTGTGGATGGGTCAACATGGCTTTTTAACATAGCTGCTCGCCTGCCTGCTAAACAGCTGCCAATCTGGATGCTAAACAGCTGCCAATCTGGATGCTAAACAGCTGCCAATCTGGATGCTAAACAGCTGCCAATCTGGATGCTAAACAGCTGCCAATCTGGATGCTTAACAGCTGCTCGCCTGCCTGCTAAACAGCTGGCTTCTGTCAGCATGTTTAGTGCACAGTATCACAAGGACGTTATGTATCAAATGAGCAAGTATTGAGGTCACCCAAAGGGATCGAACTCGCGTTTCTAGACTCCTCAAACACAAACGTTCTGCCTTTGCCATGGCTGCCATGAACTCTGGCACCAACAGTGGAAATATTATATTGGATTAAAGCTTTTATC